TCGATCTATATATGGACTGAAGCAAACCTTTAGGAGCTGGAATCTTCGATTTGATGAGCCAATCAAAATGTTTGATTTTATCAAAACCGAAGATGAAATGTGTGTTTACAAGAAAACAATGGGAGCGTTGTCTTATTCCATATAATATATGTAGATAATAAGAAACGACGTCCCTATGTTTCAATCGTTGAAATTGTGGTTGTCAAAGAATATCTCCGTGAAAGATAAAGAAGATGTAACTTGATCTATAGACATAGGTCTAGAATATTGCTAGTCTTATCCCAATCTATGTGGAGAAAATGAATTAAGAGTTCATTAAGATACCGATGCTAAATTTCAGTCAAACTGGGATGATAGTGAATCTCAATCTAAATATGTGTTTTCTCTTAATAATAAAGCGATGTGTTGGAAAGATTCCAACCAAGAAACAACCGTTGATTCAATAGTAGAAGTTTTATACATCATTGTTTCAAAAGCAACAAAGGTTGTGGTTTGGATCGAAAAGTTCATCAATGAACTTTGAGTAGTTTTTAGCATTGTTGCTCACATAAATCTGTATTGTGATAACAATAAAGCCATCACACAAGCGATGGAATTAAGGTCTCGTCAATGATCCAAACATGTATTAAGCCAATATTATTTCATTGGAGAGATGATACAAAGAAATGAAACAAAAATTAATGAATTCCCACTAGTTATAATACTGCAAATCTTTTGACAAAGAGTTGTCGAACTTAAACATGATATCATGTATAATCTTATGATATTAGATACATAAATGATTGGATCTAGTGTAAGTGAAACTTTTCTAAGTGTTATGACCTACATCCAATCGATTTTGGATATAAATACTTTTAATTTATAATCGATACATTCTATTTATGGCAAATCCATTATTTAATTGAATAGAGATCTACTATTTAATTGAATAAATATTCTATTAAATTAAATAATAGAATCTGTTGATTCAAGTCGTACAACTTGTTAATTACAAAAAGTTGCGATTGTGATATACAAATTACATATGACTAATCTTAAATTATTTGTGATCGTATGTAATAACGATATATGGATATCATTACTATGGTTAGATCATCACCTATGGCATTTCTTATTTTTGAAGTGAGTAGCTGATCTCACAAGTTAAAATGTAGTAATATTTAAATAACCACGTGAATGTTTTGTTAAAGAACTAAACATGAAGACCCGTTGGAGAGATTCAACATGGATAACATCTAAGTATCAGTGGTTAATCTCTAACGTTCGGTGGTGGATTTGGTCATTTGACTTGAAGTCATCGTAGCATCTTATATGTGGACAATTATGTTTTGGTGATGTTGGATGTTGCTCTACCAAGAGTCGCTAATACGACATCCTTCGGGTATGTCAAAAATCATATGAAGGCTGTGAATAATTAATAGAGAATTCATTACTCTTATATATTAAGATGTTATGATCCACATTTCATTCAATTAAATTAATAACGAAATCAATGGTCAATGTGTACTCACAAATCGAAAAGAGTTTTCGACTTACATTAACTTAATAGTAGGATGAAAAATATGATAGATAATCGAGATTGACACACTTCATATCTCATAATTAATCGAATCATATTGATGAAAGAATTATAGTTTCATGATAAACAAACAAGTTTGGTTTTGTCATACCCTGTTACATTTTCATCACATGTGTTACCCGACACATTGCTAGATGTCAATTTAGGACGAGGAATGTGAATTAATTAATTTAGGTGACTTAATGATAAATTAAAATGGTGTTTTAATTTATCTTATTTTGATTATATCAAAATAATAATTCACGACGTTGGATATAGTGATCTAAAACCTAATGGGTCGCACACAAAATGAAAACTAGAAGAATGATATACTAATTAATTAATTGACAAGTGTTGAACAATTAATTAATTGAGTTACTTTTTAATTAATGGATCGTGGTTATTTAATTAGATTGATTAAATATTTGATCGGATTAAGTTTAAGTGTTGAGTTAAACCCACTTGAATTTCTATTAATAAGCTATTAGAATTTGAGAAATAATACAACACAATTCATTTTCTTGCTAGTATAAGAAAAGAGAAACACTAATTCTCTCATTCCAATTCCCTACGCTAATTTTCATTGAAAGTTTGACAATTGTAGATTGCAGATCCTAATTGTTTGCATTTAAGATAAGCAAATGAGTTTGCAGAATTCAATAAAAGTATAATTCCTATCATATATTCTTTCTAAACACAAATAATTTTTGGTGGAAATTGAAATATTGTTTAAATTTCACTATTCATGTTAAATAAATTCCCAACTGAATCATGAAAGAAGTTTGTTTTCTAAGAACAAATTAAGGGTTCTTTAGCAGATTATCTTTTTCCAAGACTAATTTTTATACATTTTTTCCTTCCAAACAGAATTTTTAAACTTCTATTGATTTTAATAGATGTGGTTTCAAAGAATATCTTGAATTGTTTCAAGAGTTATATGTTGAACACGTTTTATTTTCTAAATACATGCCCTCGGAAGAAATCTCGAATTGGATAAAAGTATCTTATGGCACAAATTAGTGTATGGACAAAGTAAGTCATATTCACAAATCTTTGTTTTATGGAGGCAGATGATCCTTTTAAAGTGATTCGCAGTGATTATGACATGCTATATATATCTCAAGTAATAACGTGCTTGCATGTAGTTTAAGGTCCATTTGACAAGGTTTTCATTTCTGTTTTATGTAGAAGAGTTTCTTTAGAAAACTCTATGAGGACAACTTCCTCCAGAAGTTTTTCAAACTAGACAATATCTAAAGAATTATTCAAATATATCAAAAAGCAACATCTATGGACATTAAACAACTTGTGACTTTTCAAAATCCCGGCCAAAAAGGGCCTAAATGTAGACATGCAAGTGTTGAGCTGAGGCCGAAAATCGTGTAATCATTTCTCAAACGATATATTATAAAGAGTGCGTCGTTGTATTGGTATAAAATTTGTATATATAGCAAGTTAGCAACCCATTATTGTAAAGTGAGAGCGAAAGAAGTTAAAGGGCACATGCAAGAAAGGGATGGCTCATAAAGGTCCGTCCCCAAACATAAATGTCTGGTAGTTGATTCAGCCTATGGAGGGTTTTGCTTACTCACTTCTTTTTCACTTATAAGTTGGGTCACCAAACACAATTCTTGAAACCAACAAGTTATGTAATGAGATAAGATATGTTGGACAAGTTGATAATGTATAACATTTAATGGCCGTATAAAAACTGGAATTATGCAAAAACAAATTAATATATACTGTTTGTAGAGAGTATAAACTATAAATTAACTCAAAATCTAATATTCAAGGCTTTATGATTTAGCCAATATTTGAACTTCATTTTTTTTCAGCACTTATTTTTAAAAACACATTCTCAAATAAAATAATCTTACCGATAATTATTTTTCTCTATTTTTTAACTACATATTCTTCAAAAAATAATTATTCCAAAAAATGAGGATCAAAGAGAGGCTTAATTGTGTATTAAAGATATGAATATTTTTATTTAAAAAATGGGTCATCAAACGCAAACAATTCTGAAACAGTTTCTGAACTTAGCCCTTTTTTGATCCCAATTATTTTCAAAACACATTTTTCTCTTTCTTTTTTTTCAATCACTTTCTTCAATAAAATAATATTACGCACAAATATAAAAATTTTCCTTATTTTTTAATCACACATTCTCCATCAATCTACCATTACAAAAACATATTCTTAGCAAAAAATGGGCTCAAACATATGATTAATCTCCATGCAGGTTTATCAATCCTTTCTCTTTTATTAGTTAATAATAAGATAGCAAAATTTCCAGTGTGATGATGAACTTTACAGAACCTAGAACAGGAAATCAACCTTGTCATGGAAATTTCATGCCATCCCCAATCATGTACCAAAATGTGAGGTAAATTTTACACCAAATCTTGCACCAAACTAAAAATCATCTCCAACCATTATACCAAAACTTACACCAAATAAACAGTGTTTAATCATTTTCTTCATTTCTTTTATTCTTAACAATTTATTTATCTGAAAAAAAAATCTTTATTTATTTTACAACCACATAAATTACTAGATAAATAATTACGTTAAATTAACAAAAATATTAAATTCACTTTGCACCAACACTATTCACTTTGCACTGAAATGGTGCAAAGTTTGGTATTGGAGACATTTTGCATCATTTTTTTGTGCATTTTGATGTTTTGGTATCCCCTTTGGAGATGCCCTAAGCTTCCATATTTGGAGTTTGCATGGATCATAAATTTGCATGACTAAACTTCCAGTGCTCATGACATCCACATGGAACAAATATGTTGCTTAACATCTGAAATGAAATTTAATTTAATTTTTTTTGCCCTCTTATGCTTCCTAAAACTCTGCCTATGTTTTTTATAACCAGTCCCAGCCAAGGAGGAATGTTGTGGTAGGTTGGCACAGAGAGCATAAAGCTTTGTTAAATCTAATGACATGAACCCTAATACACATAACATCCCTTTAGCAGACCCCAAATTTATCGGGAACAAATTGATATGACACGCAGATAATCAACAAGACAACATTCTGTCTGAGTAACTGCAGAGAAAGATATGGCTAACAAAAAGGCCACAGAAATTTATCCATGGCCAATGTAAAAATTTATAGGCCAGAAACTCTTTAATTCAAATTTAACCCACACAATGAGATGACAATTCATTTTATTCTGATAGTAACAAACAATCAAAATTTACTACTGAAAAAAAAAATCCCAACACTTTATCCAAACATTTAATATATCAAGAAGAGAAGGTTGTTACCTACTACTCTTCAATTTACAATTCACTTATGACTGTAATTTACATTTTCTTTGATTAATCCAAGGAATGGACAGAGTGAGTCCATGATTCATACACAAGATTATAACATTTTGAAAGATGAATGCAATGAGAATATGCATACCCTTATCCTTAATATATGCTTATTACGAGGTGAATGAAGAGGAATTGCAGAAAACACAAGAATCAAGCATTATTTGTTCAATAATGCTTCCTTCTTCAACCTTAAACCCTCTGCTCTGCTTATTCCAGAGATGCACTGTGAAACTTTGGCTCTGAATTTGCATGAGCTTTGCAATCAACCATTTAGAGTGAGTCTCATTCCTCGGCCTCTGGAAAAGGCTGCCGATCCTACTCCAATAAACGGGATAAAAAGCCATAGGTGGCAGTACTGTAAAATTGTAACCAGGCCTCCCAGTGATTCTTGAAACAACCCTTGAAACCAAGTAAGGTCCATTGTGTCCCCATTTATTCCCATCAAATGTGAGTGCAAATTCTTCAATAAATTTGTAAAGAAGTGGATGGCCCTGATCAAAGATCATGACAGCATTATTCAATCTGCTCCAATTTCTTGTTTCAGGATTAATAGTCTGAGCCCCAATTGTATTTCTTAGCTTCTTAAAACTCTTCAATACTAGAATATCAGTGTCTAAATAAATCCCACCAAATCTGTACAATAACCCAAGCCTAAGTAAATTTGAGAGGTTCTGACCTAAAGAAATCTCTCCAGGATTCACATTTCCTTGCACTAACTGGTTATACCAAGACTGTGCAGCAGTGTTATTGAACAAATAATTGAAATCAGGAGAAATTGCAGTCACTTTGAATCCCTTACCCAAAAAGGGCTTCAAAATCTGCATCCCAGTTCTTGAATCCATTGAACTGGATACTATAATTAAGCAACCATTTGGATGTGTTTTGAATAAACTCTCTATGGTAAACAATTCTCTATCCCCAAAAGACTCTAACGAAGAAATCCAGGTCATGAAAAATCGAAACTTACAAGAAAAATTCAGTGGATTAGCATTGAAGAACTCCTTCACTCTGACTGAAAAAGGCTTCACTTTGAACCCACGACTGTGTTTTTTTCTCCTTTTTGGATGATACACCACACTTGTGTTCAGAAAAGCGACCAAATTCGTATTTTTAAACAAAAGGGGAAAATGTGTTTTCAATTTCCCAACGGGGCGCTCTACTTTTACAGCATGTGGTGCAGAAGATGAGAGCTTTGTGGAAGAAGGCACAGAGAAGGACTTTATTGATTTTCCGGGGGCAGTTTCCGGCGAAAAGCTGGCCTGCTCCGGCGAATTCTTGGCCGGAAAGGGGGCTTTAGTATAGAATATGGTGGCACTGTTATAAGCTAAAAGGCAAAGCAAAAGAAGAGAAACAAAAGCATAGAAAGATCTCTTGGTCCTTTGCAAATGGTTTAGAAGCTGAAACTGAGAATTATTGACTTGTTCCATGGCTGTTTCTGGAATTAAAAAAATACTTTCTGGGGTTTCACTGTTCAAAGACTGATGCTTTATTCTTCTCAGTATAAAGAAGCACGGAGAGAGAGAGAGAGAGAGAGAGTTGAAGTGAAAAAGTTGAAGTGCATTTGTGTTTACATTTTTAAGGTGGGGAGGCGGCAAAAAAAATCACGAAAATTGAAAAGTTTTCTTTTCTAAAGAAGAGGTAGGTGGGGGCGTGGGGTGGTTCTGGAAGAGAATTTATGAAAGGAAACTGTCAAAATTGTGCATATTTTGTACATATTCGAACATAAAGTGTTGGAATGTGGGCAATGGGACATAAAAATTAATGAAAACAATTGCTCGCTGAATGAAGATTGGGCAGTGAGGCTTTTTCATTTTGTACCTTACTGGCATGACTATTTAACACGAATTATTCATTTTGACGGACAAATTAATTTATTCGAGAATGAATTCATAAATCAAGTTTTAAGTGATCAACGTATTAAAGTTCAATAATAATGAAGGAAACTTGTGATGAGAATGATCGAAGAGTCAAAAGAAACAAAGATTAATTTTATTTCTCGATAAGTTCACTTTTATTAGTTGACATCTTATAATCAGCGTTGCGCTTTGGTCTAACTGTGGACAACTTATTACCCATCATTTTAAACAATTCACTCGTCACTATGATAATTGATATAATTTTGGAGGGATTTACATAAAAAGGGGTGTGTAGGGTTTAATTTACGAGTTCGGGATATACAAATAAAGAAAAAGAAAAACATGAGCCGAGAATGTTGGAAAGTGGCAGTTTTTTGGCATAATTTGAGTGCAATCGTTTCTTCTTTTTTAAAGATCAAAATAGATTTGCGTTCTCCTTCATGAGAAAATTAAAATCATATATTTATTTGACAAATCGATGTTCGGTTGAATAGGAAATCGAAGTTCAAAGTGTGCCCATTGAAAGTGATTGGGATGATAAAGGGAAGCCAATTATTGCTGATCTCACATAGAAAAAATGATAAGGCAATGACTACTTTATATATAATCATATTTTATGAAGGTTTAATCATGTGCAGTATAGAGGTTTTTCTACATGCACGTGCAAGATAGTTAAAATCACTTATAGGATTAGGACATTTGGCTATTGAACTCGTGTGCAGCGCAACTTGCGAACACGAATGTTGAATCAAAAGTTGGACCCTCGGTAAGGTTCTTTTTTTGCCTTTATTTTCCTGTTGATTTTATTTAGCTCACATTTATCTCAAATTGTTTCAAAATTCCCGTTTTCTATATATTTATTTTTAAATACATATTTATACAATAAAATATTCTACACGTAAATCCAAAATTTTTCCTATATTTTAATTACACATTCTCAAAAAATTAACTATTCAAACCAAGGTTTTTCCAAAAAAAAAAGGACCACTAAACAAGGGCTTATTTTCAGTTGTACCTCCAACTCCTATCACTTTAGAGGTTAATATCCTATTTAATATATTATAACTGGCTTGTTAATGGGTGAAATTAATTCACCATTCGTGGAGCCTACAACAAAAGTCGATTTTCCTTGGTTCCACACAGACAAAGTAACAATAACTTTCATTTGGAGCAAGATACGTCTAAAATGTGTCATGCTATCGTAATTTCTAAAGTGAATTTGGTGGGTTCAAACCAAAAGATTTTTAGATTGACACCAGTGCTGCTTGGCATGTTTTTTCTGATAAAGAATTGTTCAACAAAGTAAATGAGAATAAGGTGAAGTTGTTCATGGAAAACTCAGTAACATTTGAGATCAAAGGTCAGGGTAAGGTGGTTCTAAATATGACTTCTAGGAATTAGTTGGTTTTTAACAATGTATTATATGTGCTGAAAGTCTGCAAGAACATAGTGTCCAGGCCATTTCTAAAAAAGCATGATTTCGTATCATCTTTGAGTTAGACAAAGTCATATTGTCCAAGAGTAAATGTTTGTTAGCAAATATTATGTATTTGATGGGTTGTTTAAGTTTAATTCTATAATTGTAACTCAATAATGATTAATGTTAATTCTTCCACTTACTTTCTTGAGTTTTTTAATTTGTGGCATGATAGATTAAGAGATGTTAATTCTGATTTTTTACGATTTTTCATATTGATTTTAAATATAAATATGAGACTGTATTGAGCCAAAACTGATAAGATCATCATTTCAAACTATTAAAAGAAATACAGAACCACTTGATTTAATGCATAGCGACGTGTGTGATTTAAAATATGGATAAATAAGAGGTAGTAAGAAGTACTTTATTACTTTTATTCAATGATATCACATAATATTTGTATGTGTATCTATTTAAAAGTAAGGAAAAAAATATAAAGAAATTTATTCTCTATAAGAATGAAGTTGAAAATCAATTCAATAATAAATTAAGTTGTTAATAAGTGATCGAGGTAGTGAATATAAAGTATCATTTGCTGGATTCTATGCACAACACGGGGTACACATGTAACCACATCACGTTATTCAATCCAGTTAAATGATTTTGTTGAATGAAAAATCGTACTTTTAAAATAAATGATGAATTTAATCTTAAGTTCTAAGTTACCACAGAACATGTGGAGAAAGTTGTATTGATAGTAAATTACTCGAAAATTGTGGATTGCTCTTCATTGGTTATGCAAATTATAATAGTGGTTATTGGTTTCTTATGCATAATTCTAAAATTGGGACATACACAAAAACACAACAATAGAATTGAGAAATGCTTCGTTCTTTAAATATGTATTTCCAAATAGATCAAAAGAGAAAGAAAGCTCCTCTAAATCGACACGTGATATTATGGTTGAAAATAGTCAGGATCAAGGACTAGAGGAGGAAATTGAGATCGCAAAAGAGCAATGACACAAAAATTTTGGTCCTATTTTTTGACTTTATATTTTGGAAAGTGAATATCAAAACTTTTAAGAAACTACGAACTCTTCAGAAGAACCTAATTGGAATGAGGACATTAAAAGTGAAACAAATTCTATTTTACAAAATCATACATTGAACTAGTGGATCTTCTTTCGGGATGCAAACCTACTAGGTTACAAAACGATTTTCATGAGGAAAAAGTGAAAGCAAATGAAACTATCGAGAAATATAAACTAAGGTATTGATAAAATATTAAAGGCAATAGGAATACCTTGATAACTTTGATACATATTCTTTAGTCATGAGAATAACGTCTATTATGATATATCTTAAACATGAAACTCTGTTAAAAACTAAAGCACGTCGAATGAAAGTTAATTTGCCTTTCTGAATTGAGATTTAGAGAAAAAAAAATTATATGGAACAACCTTGGGATTTTTCTTCACCTCACCATTAGGAAAATAAAGTCTATAAATTGGTGAATTCATTGTATGACTTAAAACAAACACCAAAATAATTGCATGAAAAGTTTGACAATATCATGATGGAATATGAATTTAAAATCAACGAGTGCGATAAATATGTTTATGTCAAAGACACCGAGAATGACTATGTTATCTTATATTTTTAAGTTGACGACATACTTTTTGTTGGTAGCAACAATAAGTTGATTAAATTTACTAAAGACATGTTAAATTCATGATGAAATATATAGATTTAGCTGATGCAATACTTAAAATTGAAATTTTGATAACATTAGATGGACTCATTCTAAGTCAGTCATATTACATGGACGAGATTCTTGAAAAAAATAAAAAGGATGATTCGTCATGTCTAGAAATGGTTAAATACAAGTCAGCATCTATAAAAAAATAAAAATAGAAGTAACAATTTCTCTCATGTACTCTAGAATGATTGAAAATCTAATATACCTGCTGAATTTACAAGACTAGACATAACTTACAAAGTTAATAATTTGAGTAAATACAAGAGCAATCCACGAGCTAACCACTAGAAATGAATATTATGAGTACTAGGGTACTTAAAATATGCTCATAGTTATGGACTTCGCTATACTAGATATTCGATAATTATTGAAGGATATAGTGATATTAACTGGTTATCATCTATAAAAGACTCAAAGTCTACAAATGAATTTGTGTTCACATTAGGAAACGAACTATATCATTGAAATCCTATTAAGGGATAGTTAGATCCACTATGGAATCTGAATTTGTAGCCCTGGAAAATTACGGTAAGAAAATTGAGTGATTACGAGATGGCTAAAGTATGCGACAACAATCTTCATATATTGTGATAGTTAATCTGCGATAAGAAGGGCATGAAGCAACATGTATAATGAAAGTCTAAACATAAACGTCGTAGATATAATATCAAAAGATAACTACTCTCATGTGGAGTTATCACTATTTATTATGTGAGGTCAAAAGATAACATTGCAGATCTGTTGACCAAATAATTAAATAGAGAATGAGTTAAAAAGTCATCAAGAGGAATGGAACGTAAGCTTTAAACGAATGCTTGATAAAATGGAAATCCAACCTAGTTGACACGAAATCTCAAGATCTATGTTCAAATGGAAAACCTAATTGTAAATACTTATCTAATTATTGTAGGGGTTATCTCATGTCTATTCCTATGAAATAACAATGATGCTCGTAAGGAAAATGATAACAAATAGGTTTTTAATGATTCTTTTGTATCAGAATCCAAGCAAATTACTGCAATTACTTGTAATTAAGAATTCACCCTATGTGAGAGAAAATCATGGCCATTTCTAAGGGAATTTCGTAGAGCTCAATTCAAGACCATGAATGAACATAACAATGAAAACTGAATTGTTACATATAGAACCTTTTGCAAAGTATATCATCATTTACATAAAAAACATAACAACCCAAATGTATCATGTCTGTTGAAGTAAAACAAATATATACTTTCACCAAGTAAGGTTAAAAGGGTAATGTCTACCAATCATATATAGATTTCAACCATTTAATTTTTATGACCAAGTATTTATGTTACCTGTTTTTGTATCTATTATTTTTCGTTTGTGTGGAGGATTTTGAAAAGTGGTATTGTTCCGACATAATTTT